GAGTTTCCATCTAGTCTAAGATATATTTAGATAAGATTTTATTCGTTTGTGAATGTCTAGTAGCATGTGGATTCACCTAATAACAAAATGATTAGAAATGACATATAGTGATTGAAACAAAACCCATTATAAAAATTGTGATTTAGGTAAACTAAAGAAAAATTTCCCTCTCACGTGATTCTAATTCTAATTCAACTAAAGATAGCCAAATGCAACTTAACAAAATTCTAATTACGGAAATCAAATCACAAACGTGATTAGGATTAGGGAATCTTGATTATAGTGGAATATTCGGCCCATTAAGGCCCAAATATTTCCTTCAACGAAATAGAAAGAGAATATTTACTGCGTTTAGTTGAGGCATCGTCATATCTTGGAACGTGCACACTAAAATCACTAGATCGGATCTCACCCCGGTTCTCGTCGGAATCTCTAGACGGTAACCGGCGTTCTTCATCCACCTTCACACTTCAGGTAAATAGTTCAACTGTAATCTGTTTCCCGATTGTCTTCTTCTTTGATCATTCGCGGCGGTTTCTCATGTTCGAGTATGTTGAAACAATCGCTTCAATGGATTGTTAATGGCGGTTTCTAATGTGATTTAGAGTTATGTATAGATCTCGATAGGATTTGGGAAGTTTTTGAAACGGAAGTGGACTTTTTTTTTCTAATCATTACTACGGTTTTGATTTCGTTGTTGTGATGTGAGAAATGAGATTAGATGTGTAGCTTTTTCTTGTTCTGGATTTTGATTTTTTTTCCGTAGCTCCTATTGATTCCTTGGATCACAATGTACAGTATAGGAAACCAATTCTGGGCTATGCGTTACAAGAACAATATGAAGTTACTGTTTTAAGATAGAAAATTTGAAACATATCTATGTCAATTTTTAGTTATGGAAGACGTCAAGGGGAAGGAGATTATTGACGATGCTCCGACCGAAAACAAGGTTTCAGATGAGATGGAGAATCATAAACAGCCATCGTCTGAGTCTGAGGTAATTTCGAATCGTTTCTGTACTGTTGTTGGAGTTAGCATTTAGGTTGAGGGAACATAGTTATGATCGTTTTCCTATATTCATAAACTTTTTGCAGAATCTGTTTAGTGTTAACTCTTTTGATTATTAGCCATTGACTATGATGATTGCTGGTCTTTCGGTAGGAAAATGCTATTAAGAAAAAGTATGGAGGATTGTTGCCTAAGAAGATTCCGTTGATATCCAAGGTAGCGTGTTTTTACCATTGTTGCAATAAGAACGTTCTTCTCCATTTAACCATTACAGAAGCTAATACAGCTTGTATCCATGCTATATTCAAGGACCACGAACGCGCGTTTTTTGACTCGGCTGATTGGGCTTTAGGGAAAGTGAGTCTTGCATACCAACCTTTTTAACTATCCTTGAATCTTCTTTCTTCCTGCTACAATCTCTTTCTATTTGGTGTGAAATTTACAAACAGCTCTCAAAGCAAGTAAAGAACAGTAAAAAAAAAAGCTAATGACTTGAATTTGCCATTTTAATCAGCAAAAAGGACAAAAGCCGAAAGGGCCTTTGGAAGCCCTCCGCCCAAAACTGCAGGTAAAGTAAAAACTCGCCTTTCTTTGTTTCTTGTCCGTCTGTTTTGACATTAGTATCCATTCACACAACACAGCCAACTCCACACCAGCAACCAAGAGCCAGACGAATGGCATATTCTTCGGGAGAGAACACTGAAGGTGACGTTTAGATATGAATCCACAACCTTGTTTTCTTCATTCCATTGACGTATTTACTCAAGTCATTCAACACATCTCTTGCATCTCGTGAAATTCAGACTCCGAAATTGACAACAACGAATCTCTCAATGACCAAGCCTGCGCATCAGCTGATGATAATACCAATTTAAAGGGCGATGGAGGCAGCGATGGTGACATGAAAGACAACATCAAGCCGTGAACAAACATATAGATCTCTTTGCGGAGCAAACAAACAACATCACAAGTCAATTTACAGAAGAATAAGCGACCAGGTTTGCTTTGCAACGGTTGTAATATCAAGTCTCTTACATTATCATACATGGACATCAGCAAATCTGTATCACATACGAACCTCGTGGTTTAGAACGTCTATTGGACGATTTCAAATGGTTTGCTTTTATTGATCCATCAAATCCCCTTCTTAAATGATTCATTACAACAAATCAAATTCACTCATCTCAACACCAATCTTGTAATGATTTGATGATTTGTCTTTCATTTCAACCTTGATGTGACATAAAGGTCCACAAGATTACTACATTAATAGACAAAAGTACCATGAAGTGTTGGTAAAACAAGGCTTCAAAATGTCGGAATTGGGAAGTCAACTGTAATACTTTGTTAACCAGTAGCGTCAACTTGCAGCCTTTGTTTTTGTTTTATTCTCTCTTTTTCGCCTACTCCCTCTTTTCTTTGTTGTTTCCTTCTTGACTTGTCCTTCCCAAAGCAAAGTAACTTTGTTCCCACCATTAAAATTAGACCATGTTAGTTCTAAGACCCAGAAGGTTCACCTACCTCGAGGTTGCTCCTCCTACTACTACCCTACTGATACTACACCGTGTTTTCACGTCTGTTCTTCACAATGCTTTGTGTTCAAAGGTACGGATTCAGATCTTAATTTTTGTTTTTCCACAGACGCATTTCAAGTAGCATAAGCCTAATGTTGATCTTAGAATTCACAAACGAATCTATCTACTTGTGTGTTATGATGAGTATGTATATAGATACAAGTATATTTCATAAGGTCTTGGCTGTGTAGAAGTTGATCGCATCTGGAAGTTGAGTACTTGATCTAGGTGAGTTCTGTGTGATTCAGAAAAAGATTCACTGTGTTAGATTTTGGTATGTACGTCAGGATGTTCCGGGAGCACATCATCCGCAGAGGCCGGAGGTATATAAGGAGGCTTCAGTCTTGGTTTTTGAACTCAACGATGCAGTCTTATTGGCATGAGGTATGTGCTTATGAGCTGAAATTTGCATCTTTTTGACTGATTCTTCAGAGTCCTTAAAAGTTTTGAATTTTTCCGCTGTTTCTTCTTTGGTAAAGATTGAGGATTGCAAGATGAAGGCCTTCGATAAACTGACTGTAAAAGTCGAGAAGGTGTTGGAGATTGGTATAGGGACAGGTCCTAATATGAAATACTACCCTGCGCGTAATATTAACATAACTGTTGTTGGGTTGGATCCAAATCCCAAAATGAAGAAGTACGCACGAAAATCCGCTGCGAAAGCAGGATTTAAACCTAAACACTTCAAATTCAAGCCAGGAGTAAGTTTTAGTTACCATTCTGTTTCCATTTTTCATAGTCCCATGATGTTAATTCTCTTTCGATGTCGTCTTTCACTAGGTAGGAGAAGCTATACCGTTAGATGATGAATCTGTGGATGCAGTCGTTGCAACACTTGTTCTATGTTCTGTTTCAGATGTCACTCAAACACTCAATGGTAACTCTTTCTTCCTACTAATCAAAGCATCATTGCTGATTTCTACACAAATTGAAAGTAACCCTTTTCAGCATTTCCATGGTAATTGCAGAAATTAAACGGGTGCTGAGACCAGGAGGGACTTTCATCTTCTTAGAACATGTTGCAGCAAAAGGTACATAAACCATTACCATATCCGATTGCAGACAAAACCTGAATTCCAATTCGGTTTGCAGATGGATCGTTTTTCAGGCGTTTGCAGAAACTATTGGATCCTTTGCAGCAGAGATTTGCAGATGGATGCCATCTGACAAGAAACACGAGAGAGTGGATATTGGAAGCTGGTTTCAGTGGCGGGGCTGAAATAGAGACCAAGTCTGTGTATAGCTTCCCGTGGATAACAAGACCTCATATCTATGGAGCAGCTTACAAGTGAAGACTATCAACTCTTAACACTACAAATTGATTCAGAGTTCTAAAGAAAACTTATGATTGATTACTTTTGTAAATGCCACTAATGACTCTGTTTCAAGACTCTGTTTATGAGATAAAGTTTGTAACTTTTGCTGCTAATAATAAAAAATCGAAAGTACTAAACTTTGAAATGTTTCCAAAGAGACGTTTCATAAAGAGATTTCACAAGCGGACGTAATCTCGGTCTATCTTCATCTTCTTCACTCTTATTATGCTTTGTTTTTGGATATGAGTAATTGTTGAGCTTCTCAGTGCAGCAATGGCGATCCTGCAAATGTCACCTTCTTCACTAGTCTCGACGATAACATCATATTCACAACGAGGAAAGATTAGAGCTTCGCGAGATTCCTTCAAAACCCAGAAGAATCTCGTAACGACAGAATCTGTCTCCTCTTTCAGCTTATGTCCCTGCGGAAGAAGACATTTCCTTGGAGCTATGAGTTCGATGCCGTTTCTTCCCATCTCTCCCTCTTACGCTTCTGGGTCCTCTCCTCTAAGCTCAATGGTTTCTTCCTTTGATCCAAGTTTTACTCTTTTTTCCGCTTCATTTGAAATTGGTTCTCAATCGAATCGATAAACCCCCAAATCTGGAATTTTAGGGTTTATCTGGAAATTGATGAGCGATTTAATCTCATTATGTTAGGAAGAATTGAAAAGACTGCGACCTCCAAAGCCGGATTGGTATGAGGAGCTCTTTGCTTGGTGTATGAACACAGGAATGGAATCGTACGAGGAAGAGGTTTAGTGACCTTCATTAGTTTGTGTTTTGATCTTACATTCCTTTTGTCAATATACATCTTCTTGTTTTGTCAGATTTCAGGTTATAAGATGAAACTGTTTGATAGTTTGGTGGGAAAAGCTGAAAAAGTTTTGGAGATTGGTATTGGAACAGGTCCTAATTTCAAGTACTACAAAGCTATTATTCCAAACGTTTCTGTTCTTGGTGTGGATCCAAACGTGAAAATGGAAAGCTATGCGCGTAAATCCGCTGCGGAAGCAGGGCTGAAATCCGAAGATTTCAGATTCATTCACGCGGTTGTGATCTCGAATAAATATGCTATCATTGATCCCTCTTGGCATCCCTTGATGGTACATTTTCATGTTGATCTTTGTCTAGGTCGCAGAATCCATACCATTAGAAGATGCATCGGTTGATGCAGTTGTGGGGACTCTAGTGCTTTGTTCTGTTGCAGATGTCACTCAGACGCTCAACGGTAATTGCTTACTTACTTTAAATCCAACATGTTAACAGTAGGAAACAATGCTCAACAAACAGTTTGATTTCTATGGTTTAATATAGAGATAAAACGGATTCTAAGACCGGGAGGGATTTACATTTTCATAGAGCATGTTGCAGCGGAAGGTATCTCTTTTGAGTCGAAATCCATTAAGAGTCCATTGTAGAAATGATGAAACTAAATCCAGAGTTTTGTTTATGACTTTGCAGATGGATCGTTTCTGAGGTTGGTGCAGAATGTGTTGGATCCATTGCAACAAGTTGTTGCCGATGGATGTCACCTGACGAGGCACACCGGGGAGTACATTTCAGAAGCTCGGTTCAATGGCGGTGCAGATATTAAAAAGGCATCTCTTTCTAGCTCTGCTTACATAAGCTCTCATGTCTATGGGGTTGCTTACAATTAAAATAACAGGAAAGTTTTTTTAAACTTATCCAAGGTATCTTGATGATTGATGATTATTGTACATATTCAATGATAGACATTAAATAAATCTAAGTGATGGCTGTAAACTATTTAATATAGCTGAGGATAAGTTTTTCTTTTGATTATCGATATAGTTTTAAAAGCTGAACCTTTGCAATGTTCTTGGTCGGATTCCATGTGCCAAGAGTGAGAAAAATGATTCCCTAGAAATCTGAAGACAATTATAAAGACTAAGATCTGTGATTGAAGGATCATTGTGGCTATTATTATTATGATGATGATGACTCAAATGCATTCATCGTCTTCCTCACTGGTCTCGTCGCTCACATACTCACCTCGGAGAGAAATTAGAGCTTCACGAGATCATGTTCGTGTTGATACTCTAAAGAGTCACGTTTCTTCAGGCTCTTACTCCACAAGCTTATGTTCATGTGGAAGAAAACATTTTCTTGAAGCAGCTAGCCCGAAGATGCCCTTTCTTCCCATATGTTCTCCTAATGCTTCGCGATCCAAGGTGATTTTTATTTCTTTTGATTTCTCGTAGATTCATTTTGTGAGGAGGCACCAACATGAATTTGCATTGTGGCTTTTTAACGGGTTGTCTCCAAATGCCAAGTTTGGTACCCTGGATGAATATGACACTTATATGTTTATGAGAATCATTGCACTTACATGTAACTGAGATTTATCTGCACCAGGATGTTTCTGAAACCTCTCATCCTCGGAGACCAGATTGGTATAAGGAGCTTTTTGCTTGGTTCTTGAGCACCGGAATGCGATCTTATGAAGCAGAGGTCAGTCTTATTGACTTTGGATGCATCACTCTTTGATCAATTCCTTGAAATTTTAGC